TGTGAAATTTTTCAAATTCCAAAACTTGAGGGCAAGTTTTGAAACTCTTCAAAACTTTTCATTTCATAACTTATGAATTAAAGGTTCATAAAAATGAAGACTCTTCATTTTTATGTAACTTATGTGTTTTCAATGTGTGTTTAAAAGTAGTGACCTTTGGATATCCATAACTTGAGGACAAATTATGGACTCCATCAAAACACATAAATGATCAAGAATTAATTCTAAACAATTCAGCAAATAATTCCTACCATCTTCTAAATTCATAAGAACATGAACATGATCATCAAAATTTCAAGAAATATATGAACACATAAAATCATGGAATTTTGATATAAGCCATTGTAAATGGATTAGAAAAACCATTACACCAACTAAAACAAGTTTTAAAACACCAAAACAGTTTAGGGTAAGGTTTCTAGTCCATTTCCAGCAGCAAAAGTCAAAAATCTGCATTCTGAGGCTTCTACTCGCCGAGTGTACGAACCTACTCGACGAGTAGGATGAATTTTGTCATGAACTCGGCGAGTCCCCCCATGGACTCGGCGAGTTCATCATGCAGACAGCAAGAAAATCAACTTTTTTCACTATTTTGCATCAAGTATCAAACAAACAAGCCTAGTCTCTGATACCACTGTTGGGTTTTGAGCATTCTAACACTTCCTAAGTGTACATGCAACCCTCATAAACCTTGGATCTATGTTTGTCTAAATACATGCAAAATAATAATTTTCCAAGGTTCATAACCTATCTAGCATGGCATGGGTTACTTTTAAACATAAAAGAACTAGATGGATTACATACCTTTTGTTGAGTGTTGATTCCTTGGAGTTTGAGAGCCAAGCACCAATAATGTGAATGCATCAAATGGAAATCACAAATCACCACAAACTTGGAAAATGTATGAGAGAGTATACTAACTCTTAGAAATCGGCCACCACTATTACACACACACTAGGGTTCTATTTCATGCAACATAAGCCTCTTTAGATAGTGTGCATGGTTAGGGTGAAACCCTAATAACCCATGTATTTTCCTTTCCAAGGATCCATGGGTTAAAAGCTCCATGGATCATCCATGGACTTCCATATTAGCTTAGTCCATTAACAAATGAGTATTAGCCCACACCATATAAATTATAATAGCCCATGATTTAATTAGTCTTCCTTTTAATCACTAAATTAATTCATAATTAATTTAAGATTAAAACTAATTAAATAACATGAATTTATATTAATATATTATAACTTATAATATATTAATAAATCGTAAGTATACAATTCTCATAAAATTATCCATAAATCGTTTGAGTGAAGTGCAACCCAAATGGACCATGTCGGGTCGGGTCAAGTATATACCAAATAAGTTATGGACTTAGACACCTTATCCAACACAAGCATCCCGCAGCAAAGCGGACCTTCGACCCCTCCGGATAGAAGCTCGTCAACTGTGCAGACTCAATGTCTGCGATCCATCTCCTGGCAGCAATGGGGTCCTTCACCTCGTGAAAGTCCGACGCACCACTCCCCCTGAAGTCCTTGAAGGATAGTGTGCGCGTACCCATCTGGCTAGATGCCAAATCACTCATGAATGTTCGGAGGCGATCCTCCATTAGCTCGATAATCCCCTCCTTGATCGACCTGAAAATGACCGTGGTCGCCTCAAGGATACCTCTCGTGATCTCAGACACGATGAACTCGCGTAGCCCATCATCAACCTGCTCGGATCCTGCACCCGATCCTGATCTTGATCCTGACCCAGATCCTGAACCTCCTACTCCATGTCGCGTGGTCACCATACTGAAAATAAACACATAAACGTCAGGATCATACATACTCTCGATAGGTCTCGTACACTCTCCAAGTTTCCTGGTTCCATTTTGGCCCTCTTTGACTTGAGTACGGATCCTCTGCTTCCAGTAGTACGGGCACATACTACCTTCCACATCTATCCATACTTTCCTCAAGGATTGCTTCAACTCACCAAGTCCCTTTACCAATACTGCTTTCCAACTAATCTCATCCTAGGATTTCCTAGGGCACTCTCCGACCTACTCTCCGCCATCAGCTGCAATAGGAGTCCATACCACCTTTCCCTAACTAGCTTGTGAATACTGTTACATATTCACCTACTAGTTAGTTAAAGTTAGCCAGAACCCCTATAGCACAAAGCAAGAAGCATTTGTGCATTGAGTAACCAAATCAAGCATAACCTAATCAGGCTATCATACTACTGACTAGCAGCTCTAACAGACGACTCAATAAACTCCTACAACAGGCATACGAGGCATCCTCCTAGATCCTTAGCCCTAATCTAGCATGCAGTTCTCATAAGCACATAACAGGCATAAAAGGCATCCTCCTAGATCCTTAGCCCTATTCTAGCATGCAGATCTCATAATCATATCATATAGCATGCAGGTATCTTGGTCGGTCGCACGCATCACACACCTCGTTCTTTCTCAAAATTCTTTAACTTATATTTTAGAAAACTATTTTCTTGTAAAAATATTTCAAGCCCTCGATTTGAGTCCAGACACCCCCGAGGGTGTGTCCGAATCCCTCAAACCAAGGCTCTGATACCAACTTGTAACATCCCAATTTTCCAAGCCAAAAAATTCGTTTTTAATTAAGTCATTTGTAAAATAGTTTACCAAAACATTGTCAATGTTACATCAATTTATAAAACCATAACATCGTGTCTCAAAACCATATCATCAAAAGTAATGAAAATCTGAGTACAATCCCAGAAAACTCCATGCGGAAATCATGTGTGTGTGATGCGCTGCTACACCGCTGACTCCTTCCCCTTGGAAGAAGAGGTACCTGAAACCAAAACTGAAACTGTAAGCACAAAGCTTAGTGATTTCCCTCATCATACCACATACCAAACAACATACGTATTGTCGGGCAGTTTTGGGGTGCCTGACCTACCCATGTCAAGCCATTCTGGGGTGCTAACCTACCCATGTTAGGCTATTCTAAGGTGCCGACCTACCCTCCGGCCTGTCTCATCCAGACACGGGGACTAGACTATTTCACCCCCCCCTTACTACTAGCATATAACATCATATCATAACCATATTGTCAGACATATCTGGGATGTCCGACCTACCCTTCGATCCTAGCGACCGAATCCAGGGACTAGTCCCCTCCTACCACTACTAGCATATATAACACATCATGCTGGCATATAACATATTAGACAATAGCAAACCAAAAAATTATCACAAAGACAATTGTCTCAACTAACAACTACTAGCGGGCCGCCCTTGGTGCCTTAGACCCACTTCTACTGAAACATAACTCACCTCAATGTCGCGTAGTGTCGGAACTGTCCTCGGTGTGAAAATCGACTCTCCTTGACTCCCCAATCCCTACACGACAACTCTTCTAAGTTATCAATTTGTACTTGTAACCCTAACCAGGGTCACTCAAATACGGTCAAAGTCAACTTTGGTCAAAGTCAACCTCCAGTTGACTTGACTCGCCAAGGTGGTCTACCAACTCGTCGAGTCCATACTCCTCCCAAGCTCCCACATAATACAACCCCCGACTCAACTCGTCGAGTCTAGCAAGAACTCGACGGGTTCTCCTTCAATCATACAATCGGGACCATCTTCAACCGACTCGTTGAGTTCATCCTTGAACTCGTCGAGTTCATCTCCTTCATATGAATGTGTCCAGTCTATGACTCGCCCGAGTTGTATGAACAACTCGTCGAGTCCATCTTCATAGGTTGGGAGATTGCCTTGGACTCGCCGAGTTTGCTCATGCACTCGTCTAGCCCCATGATTTCCAATCCTATAATCTCGTCCATCTTTGTTGAGTCCTTCTCTAGACTCAACCAGATCCCCAAAACAGCAAAGGTCAGGGAACCACTACCCGACTCGCCAAGTCCCAAGAACAACTCGCTGAGTCCACTAAAGTTCATGTCCATAAACTCGTTTTATGTTAAGCTCATCTCATCCAAAGGGTAGATCTGACCTCTTAGGGTCGATATAGCACGTAAAGTCACGAACTTTACATCCATGCATGGGTCTTTAAGCTCTAAAGGACCACAAATGATGTCTACAAGATGCATGGGGCTCTCATGGCCATAAAGTTGGCACCTCTATGCCATGAGACCCCTCCAAAGTCCAAGATCTGAAGCCATAACTCCATATTACACCCCACAACCCGAAAATGGTCAGCACCCCAGAATGGTTTGACATGGGTAGGTCGGGCACCCCATAACTGCCCGACAATATGTATGTTGTTTGGTATGTGGTATGATGAGTGAACTCACTAAGTTTTGTGTTTACAGTTTCAGTTTTGGTTTCAGGTACCTCTTCGTCCAAGGAGAAGGAGTCGGCGGTGTAGCAGCGCATCACACACACACACATGATTTTCGCATGGAGTTTTCTGGGATTGTACTCTGATTTTCATTACTTTTAATGATATGGTTTTGAGACACGATGTTATGGTTTTATAAATTGATGTAACATTGGCAATGTTTTGGTAAACTATTTTATAAACGACTTAATTAAAAAGGAAATTTTTTGCCTGGAAAATTGGGATGTTATATATATATATATATATATATATATATATATATATATATATATATATATATATATATATATATATATATATATATATATATATTACCTTTTTCTAAATAAAAGATAGAACCTAAAAGTGATCGGTTTCAAAAAACTTTGAACAATTTCAGTATTTTACTCTTAATTTTTTTATGATACTATATGATTTTACATTAAATAATATCAATTGTTTTATTATATATATACAAAATTTGCATGTGAGACGTCCTTTCATGTTTTTATAGTTGAGCAGCCTTTAAGAATAATTGTATATTTTTTTGATAGTCTATTTGTATATTATCCCTCTACCTTAAAGATGCTATAAAATGTGTTTTTGACATTATTTCAAATGATACCGAATGACATCAAAATGATGACTAGTGAAGTAAAGATAGAGGATGTAAAAGGAAAAAAAAGATGTCACATGAATCCCTCAAGTTTTATACACTCTTACAACTTCATGACCTAATACAATCATACAAGGCAAATCATCGATAATCTTCTTAAACTCATCAATCCATACTTACCGTTAACTAATAACAAAATTAAAACTACATAAGCAACATTTAACTTTCTTGTATGCTCACCAACTGTTGATGCTAAATGAACATGTTTACGTAACGGGTGAAAACTCATAAATAAGATCAAATAGCCTAAGCATCACTTTCCTTACTAAGTTACCTCCTCCATGTCATTCGTGGGACGGACCCATTGTTATACATTACAAAAATAGAACCAGTCAAATAAAAATGTATATAATTAAGACAGAGAGAAATGTAAGCTTATCCGTTCAAATTTGTAAAATTTCCTCTTACGGAAGGAGGGTAAATCCATCTTTTTTTCAACTTGTGTTACCTACATCGACCCTTTCGTAAAACAAGATGTAGCCATGATCCGTGTTGCTGGAATACTCTTGTGCGGACCCGAAAAAAGTTTGCACAGCGGACTCATCGATCATTTCCACATTTTCATCATCAAAAAACAACCAATGGTTATGGCTTTTCACGAGGCTCACGTAGTGCCCGTGGTTGGGCCCACTTCCGACATGGACCACCACCGCGAAAAGAGAATATTCGGCGTCTGTGTCTTCGACGGTGTTGCTTAGTTTGAGCTCCAGGGGGAAGACCACACGGTATGAAAGCTTTTTGTAACGCCCGAGTTGCTCGATGTATTTGAATCTTTTTAAATGGATGACTAGGATTTGCGGTGGTTTCTTGATCTTCATTCTTTTTTGGGCTTCCTGCAAGCTTCATTAGTACCCAAGAGATTTAGTTATTTGTTGTGTTTACTGTGACTGTCAATGGGACAAAGTAAATTACACGAATGGTCCCTATGGTTTAGGGTAATTTGCGTGTTTGGTCCCTAACTTATTTTTTTTAACTCGGAAGGTCCCTATTGTTTCTTTTTGTTACACGCTTGGTCCCTATCTTACCTAAAAAAACTATTTTGCCCTTGCTTTTTTTAATTTATTTAAATAAACACACCCCAACCCACCTCCTCACCTTATCTTACTTACCCCATCATTTTTCACTATTTAAATTATAGTCTTTTTAGGTAAGATAGGGACAAAAACAAATACTAGAGACCAAGCGTGTAACAAAAACAAACAGTAGGGACCTTCTGAGTTAAAAAAATAAGTTAGGGACCAAACGCGCAAATTACCCCAAACCGTAGGGACCATTCGTGTAATTTACTCATGGGACAAAAGGGTAAATTGTCAAAAAAGATTACTCTTTGTGAATGTGAATAATGTCAATGGCACAAATCAATGTGAGTGTGAGTGTGACTGATGTCAGCATCAGTAATTGTACAAATCGATTGAGAAACTCAGCTGTGTTTGTTTTTTAAAAGATAAAATGCTTGTAGTCTTTTTTTTATGCATTGTACTGTAGAAAAAGTTTGCACCAATTGTCTACAGTCTACATAAAAAATATTGTTTGTTTTTAAAAGTTTGTAGGCTAAAATTTATTAAAATCAATAAAAACCATGTTCAAATTCAAAACAAAATCAACCAAGAAGAAGAAGAAAAAAGAATAAACATATCAAAAAAAAAGGGACAAACTTTAAAAGCTAAGGGTTAGAAATGTCTTCCAACTTTAGAAGTTTTTTTTTTCTTTTGGATCTTCCACAAAAAGAGGACAAACAGATGTTTTTGTGTCTTTTGTCTTCTAAAAAATAAACACTGGGTGATGGTGAGGGAAAAAAACAAACTGTAAAAAAAACATAATTTAGTGCGAGTGTGATAGATGTCAATGGTACAAATCAACGGCTGAAACTCAGTGTGAGTGTAACTAATGTGAACGGGACAAAAAAAGTAAATTGTCAAATTTTAATAGTGACATCAACTTGGTGTGAAAAAAATATGAGCGTGACTGGAACAAAAGAGTAAATAGCCAAAAAGTTTAATCGTAGTGACTCCTAGTGTGAGTGATGTCTATAAAACAAAAAAAGCGAATTGTCAAAAAGTTTAATCTCATCAAAATAACAATTAGTGTCTTGAAGTTGAAGTTTGTTTTTGTTATACAAGATAGGGGTTGGGAAAGCTTTCTATGGCTATTTTATGTGATGAGGATGAGGAGGGCATTTACATCTTTTGTACATACAAACAAAAACAAAAGATTGAGAGCAATTCCATATTTTAACTTTTTGGGTGGGACAAAAAACAGTTACATTAACATGAATCTTTGTCCAAGTCTGATGTACACTACAAGAGTGTCTTTTTCTTTGGACAATGACAAATACCAAAAGATAGGTCTTATCCATGGACAACAAAGTCAAACAATAAGCCAAAAAACTTGGAATAGGTTCCCTATAATGTACTAGGACAGTAGTAGTCTTTTCACAGTGAAAAGAAACTGGTACTAACTAAAAGTTGCCTTTTTGAACTATTAAAAAGTTAGACAAATATTTGTACAACACTCTTAGCTGGCTGAAACAGTATAAAATAGTATCCAAAGCCGACAGACATCAAGGCCACATAAAAAGACGTAAATACCCTCCTTGTTCAAGAAAACATACCTGCAACATTTATCACAAAAGAATTTGTCCTCAGCGTTTAAAGTCTCAGTGGAACTGAAGTTCTTCAAACAACTAGTAATTGAGGTATTTTGTTCAATATCAAGGCTCAAGTCAAGGAAGGTTTCATCCCTTGCTGTTACTGTCTCACATCGCAAGCACCTTGTTTCATTTGTGAGTATACCCTGAACATTCAATCACACAAACAATACCAGAAAATTTTAATCATTACACAAAATATTCACAAGGCTAAATTGATAAAATGTCTCAAAGTACAAGTGCTTTCTTTCCATTAGAAAACTGTTGTATGGGTAACCACACAATGCTTGATAAAATAATAACTGTTATAGATTTCAAACTGTAAAGGACAAAACTGTGACTCTTCATGGAAATTGCATGCAGCATAGTTACTTAGTTACCTGAAAATTCTTGTGCACCCATGTGATGAGTGGCTCTCTTACATGACCATTCATGTGAGAAGTCTTTATTCCATTAGGAATTTGCTCAGAAGATGAACAAGATTCTGGATCACTCTTAGCAGCACGTGACTCCTTCTCCAGTATGTCCACAAGCTCGTTTAATAGATAATTTAAAAATTCATGGGCATCCTAAATACCACAAGAAAACCATTCCAGATTTATAAAAAAAATAAAAAAAAAATAATGATCAAAGACAAACAGGGTGTAAATCACCATATACATCTACATGCAACAAAAACATGAATCTATTAAAAAAAATGCAACTTTTGTGACACAGACATCCCCTATCACTCAACAAGATCCTTGAGGTTGTAAACCTTCATGCCAATATCTCATTTCTCATTGTAGCCCTTTTGGGCTTGAGTAATGCTGCTTCTATGGAGAGATAGGATTACTTCAATCAAGAGTTTCAGAAAAGATAAGGTATCATTCCATTCCTACAGACCAAACAAACATGATCATGGAATGTCATGACTCCTTCCACCTTTAGAGTACATACATATGAGGGTAACACATAAAACAGAAGCTACAAAACAGCATTCTACAGTGAACAAAGATGCAATTGATGTGAATACTATTATCAGATTATACTAAATTTGAACTATCAAAATTAACTTTACAAAGGAGAGAATACTATTAGATCTTCTAATTTGCATATTGACATGAACATAGCTTTACAAAATATTTTACCTGGTGCATATAGCTACGGAAAATCTCATTCTGCTTCTTCAATCTCTGTACAAAGCGTTTTGGAGCAATCACCCCTGTTTTCTTCTTTTGTGAAGTTATCTACAAAGCAAAAAAACATTAAATTCACATCTACAAACTGCAAAGAAACTAAATTGAAGATATACAGAAAAAAATATCAGCGTTATCTAGTAAAAAGTTATACCTGTGTAAACAAGTCTGCTAGGCATGTTAACAGATTTTCTTCTGCATCAGCAAAACTTTTGTTGCTTGAATAATATTCTAACAATTGCTCACGAAATGGAACACAGAAATAAAGAGCCTGTCACCAATGAAAAAGAAAAACCATTATGATTTATTTCCCCTAATGTACACAGAAGTGCGAACATATATATCAATTCAAGTAAAACCAGATCACCACATACGAAAGTAGAAACCCTCAAATATACGGAGTTTTAAGCACCCAAACTCAAGAACTAAATCGAATTTCTTTAAATGACATGAACAGGAAAACATTGGATCAAAATTAATGGTTGAGATGTTTTAAAATAACAATAGCGAGCGACTACCTGCAAGACACTGTTACAGTAACATGTATTGCCAAAATTTTCGAGACCGAAGTATCGTTCGCCTTCTGGGAATTGGTCGCCCAAAGCTTTCTCAAGTTTGGAGCCAGCTGCACCCATTTGTTCAAGGCATCCAAACCCTTAATCAGCGAAAAAGGAAAGAATCAACCAAACCCTTAGTAGCTAGACGAGCATGGTTTGTTCATCAAGAAAGATGAAAAATGAGATGTGAAGCACAAAATCGGAGATGCGATTGGTGGAAATTGAGGGGAGAAAACAGAAATTTGCTATCGTCACTCATGAATCATGATTGTTGCCAAGCTGTAAACACTGACCGGGGCACGCACCCTTTTATGGTCCTTAATCATGGGTTCGACAACCTCACACCTTAAGTATCTGTGGCCCCCTCACTCAATGTTCATTTGCTCCAAGTATACACAGGGAATTGGGGAATTTTTGAAGGTGGTTTCGTCACGGGAAAGATGAAGGTTAGGAGATAAGTGTTGGGGCTGAAAATAGAAATCAGGGGAGTTTGTCTTTTTGACGGGGCCCTTCTATTTTTGTTGGGGTCGTTCAGGCGCAAAGGGAAAGGGTATAGGGCTAGGGCCTAGGGCAACATAAAGCTTGTGTATGCGGTATAATCTTAAATGATCTCACGGGAATTTAATCATGGCATTATCAAAGGGTTTAATACATATACAATGTTATAGGTTTAAACAAGGATAATACATATATACACACAGACTAAGGAGTGGCATGGTATACAATACATACTATGCATATTGGAGACTACAGGGCATATGAAGTATACTAGGCTCGGTCTCTTGCACCTTTTTTATAATTGTGTTTTGTTCTTTGATGTTGTATGGGGTTGTTGGAAAGGTAAACTGCATTAACATTGTTCTAATAAAAAAATTGTGGCTTTACCAAGGCAAAAGTGTAGCTCTCAAAGGAGGTTGTAGATCCAAGATATATCAGCTACAACATTTTCAGCACAAAACATTTGTTTCAGCTTCAACACTAGATGAATATATAGTTGATTGTCGTTTTGAGGACCAAATAAATAAGTTATATCCTAGAAAATAATCACTTGTGGAATGGTTGAGGAGGGACTTCTGCAATTTGTTTCGGAGTACGTGATGAGACCGGTGGTGATTGAGGTAGTTTGTAACACCTCATTTTCGTCTTACATCATAAATGACCAGTTACGTCAAATAGACATTTTGATAGAGGACTATTTAGAATAAATAATCTTGACAAAAGTCGTAGTAATCACAAAACTGAGAACATGCGTATAAAGAACGCTCAAATTTGACTTCATGAGATGAAGTTATGATTTTTCGAAGTTTCAACGTAGCAGTATATGACTCATAAACCAAAATTGAAATCGGTCGATTGTTAGGAAAAACAATCTAAACGAGAGTTGATGATCTCTTTAATGTTTATCTATCGATATAAAGACAGTCGAGAACGGATATCGTATGAAAAAATTATGATTTTTATACGAACTTTAACAGTCTAAGCCCATTAAAAATATAAATTTAAAAATAAAGTGATAATTAGCTGGCGGAGTCTAAATGAAAGTTGTAGATCTTGTCGATAACTACACGTGGAACGTCAAAAACGGAGTTCGTATGAAGAAGTTATGAATTTTTGAAGTTTCCCGAGTGCACCCCGTGCAATAAAGGTGCGACACGCATCTATTAGAAGTTGTCGCACAACACCAACCAAAAGTCGCCATGTATCACGCTTTGAGAGGAAGGAGTGCCGACCAAGCTTGGGTGCGATGGACACTTGTCCTATAAATACTTATAGCTACTTATTTGATTTCCCACACTCTCCAATTCATCTCTCTCGAGTTTCTCTCCTTAGAAACCGAAATTTTCTTAATATTAAGGGTATTTTGGTTAGTTATGAAGTCCCTAAGAGCTAGACATCTAGTAGCTATCAGGCCAGAGTTCTGCCAAAGCAATTTTTGAACTTTTTTCATAAAAATCTTTGTAAGTTAAGCTATGCTTCTAGTGTAACTTATATTTACAGTCATGGTCATTATTATAAACCTATGAATAAGATGTATGAGCAATTCCATGTCATTATACTAATTGATCTACTTACAAGAGAGGTGTCTAGAATGATCATGTTGGCTTGGTTGTTGGATTTCAGAAAGGTTATACGTTGAAATGGTCATGCCTCCCAACTATCCTATCTGTCTGATCCTTATTTGATAGAACTCTCGATATTCATTGGGATGGGTGAAAGATCTAGCTTTCATTACCAAATCGTCATAAAAATTAATAACTTGTAGTAATATATGTTAATACTTGTCAAGCACGTTAACAACCAGTTGGATCGCCAGTAGAATCACCCAGATTGTTGTAAATCGTGTAAGTGAATAATCCATGTAAGTTTTCTCACTATATTATGTTCTCCAGTATATATCCTCTATATATTAGGATATATGTCACACCCCCAAACCAAAATTGCGGAAACATCTGAGGGTGGATGACTTCATGTAACATCCCGACTACCAGGTATAAAATGTAATTAATTTACATTCATGTTGTTAGAGCAACTCGACGAGTTAGAGGCCCCAACTCCCGAGTAGAGGGATAAATGGCCGCATGATTTTTAGAGTCTACTCGACGAGTTGGTGGACCCCAACTCGACGAGTAGGAGCTGAGTGTGAAAACCCTAATTTTCAGGGCCTGTGTCCTATTTAAATGTGACAACTCGAAATTTCTATCTTATAACAATCTCTGCCTTCACTCAAAGTCAATCTTTCAATTGCTAAATTTTAGTAGTTTTGGAGTCAGTTTGAGTGTTCTAAAGCCTAGTACAGTAACAGATATGTGGAGAGAGGATACCCTATGGTTTATTGTGCAAAACTAAAGTCTCAAAACTCCAAGAGTTTAGAGTTTATAGCCTAAACATGGAGTTTACGGCCGTAAACTCCAAAGAGTATAAATATGACACTAAGTCATTTTACTCATTTTTCTCACAATTTCTGTCACACCCCAAAACCAAGAACGGCGGAAACGTTCTGGGGCGGAGGACGTCATGTAAAGTATCACAACACAGTAAATGTAAATAAGCAAACAACATCATTCATTGCATTAAATATATAGTTTTAATACAAGCGTGTTCTGTACAGTATAGACACCAAAAATAATGTATATCAAAATAATAAGATGAGTCTTGGATGCGCTCCATCTTCTCAAAAGCTGGCCTCGGTACCTGTCTACTGATGACCTGAGAATACAAGTTATTTTGAAAGAGTTTATCAGCATTAAGCTGGTGAGTTCATAAGTATTTTAGTGTCAGTATTTGTCATCCAAAAACGTTTGAACATGTATCAAGTGTAAGTTTGTAAAATGTATGTAAATGTTTGTAAGTGTTTGTAAAAGTTTGAATCTCTCAGAAAAACCTATATTTTCTATTAAAGTAGCCTTCTACCAAGGCTTAACTGCTTTGTATATTCGTTTACTGTAAAAGTGTGTAATTTACTCAAGTGTAACTATCATTTTCAAAATATAGTTTGTACATAATTGTTTAAGTGAAAAGATCACTAATTGTGTAAAGAGTAAATCAATGTAGTATTGTAGTGTTGTATTATAGGAACTACTGTTGTACTAACTACCTTAAACCGGATTTATATTAAGGTATCATGTGATAAATTGCACCATACTATAGACTGGTAACAACGACAACGTATAGTCGAAAGATAAGGTATGACGTTTGGCACCCGCAGACCTGCTGGTCCCGCTGTAGCTAGCAGCGAGGTGTAGGATAGTCAATCCAGTATAGATCTATACGCAAACTCACACTCTCCCTTCAAGAGACTATGGCTACAACTCGGGTCATGACAATTAAGGCATGCTCTCATACAGTGGATCACAATTGTTAACGTATTCGTGTATATGTAATATAATGTTACTTGTTCTAGTTTCGTTGTATATGTTCTCTTAGTAATAAGTATTGACTCATGAATGAACTGACTCGTTGATCTAGAAATTGTAGTAGTATGATCCTGTGTTACCCCGATGGTAATTTGCTAATGATGTACTGATAAGTATGAATATGGAAGTACTTTTATGTCTATATATGTATATTTGATATATAATTAATATTGAAACAACCTTCGGATGGTTACCCGAAATCCTTACCAGACCACATCTCAAGCGCGAAAAGGAAATAGGGCGGATGGCCTTCCTAAGCCCTTTAAACATTTCTTATATATCTATACAT